CGCAACTTTTGCACCCTAAGGACGGGATTTGCTACCTCGATAGGAAATGTGCTGTTTACAAGATCCCATGTCTTACTTGTAACGTCGTCTATTGTGGCCAGACTGGGAAATCTGTCTCAACCCGTATACATGAACACCAGGCAATGGTGAGATGAGACCATCTATCTCAGGTGGCCGCGCACACACTGCACACTGGACACACATTTTCATGTGAGAGCACTCGCATTGTTGGCGCCTGCCAAATAAGGAAAGGCAGCGAATTCCTGGAGGCAATGCACTCAGACGAGGTATGCATCCACGGGCATGTCGGTTTAGATGCCACGTACAAATATTTCAAGGACAGATGGAAGCGAGCGCAACCAATACCGAGGAGATGGCGAAATACCATTGACGCACATTTGCGTGGGTTTCGGCCGACAACGGAACCGCTTGCCCGACATGTTTTTGTACATGGCCCATAGATCTGACGACGAGCTGGGGAACCAGGCTCGAAAATTTACGCAATAAAGATTATTTTGTTCCCAAAGGATCTCACCTATTTCAAAATACCACAGTGCCCCATACTATGGGTTCAAAGCTGGTAAAAGCCTGAACAAAATGTTAAGGCTGAATTTGAATGGGAATGAATATTTAAAAGAGGTTGCACTGTTTATTAACAACGAAAGTCTTTGTGTGCCATATTCATACATGGTAACACACGATTTTTGGCTGAGAATCTACCCAACCACCTGCGTAAGTCGCACGAGAGTTGAAAAAAACTCCACTTAAATAATGCGTACTTCCGATGCAGTAAACATGAAATTTTTATTTTTCTCACCACGCTTGCAAGAAAGTGTGCCTGATCTAAGTGTGGCACTTTAAGGATGGATGTTCTTATTCTTAAGCAAGTTGATCAATTCCTATGTATAGTAGATTTCGGTTGACTGAGCTACCAACTACCCGATTCAGCCGTTTAATCGGGTCAAGTATTCAGAAAGAGGTCACATGTGTATCTCGGAAGTACATACATCTGCCTAAGTGGTTGAGTGACCGTCCCAAGTCAGATGTTATCGCAACCAGGTTGATGAGATGGCCTGTAGGTTGAGCTGACAACGAATCGTAGTGTTGACTGCAAGTTCAACCAAGTGGCTTGCATAGGCCGCGCACGCCTCCACGTCACTCTGATTGGTCAGTTGTGGGACTCCACGGGCGTAAGGCGCCCACCTCAAGGGGTGGACTTCATGCCGGCAGGCAACCTAAGGCAGCGTAAGCAAAAAGCCTAACCTCAGGCCGAAAAATTCTATTGCAATTAGGCCCACTTAACCAATATCCACTGTCTACTCCTCTGGCTTCGGTACTTTCCAAAATACATGTTACCCAAATTCATTACCAGTAGATCTTGATCATCTAAACCACTGGGAAGCGGGGAAGCGGTTCAGTCGGGAAAAAAACCCAGACGAGATACAGATCGCATTTATAACCTGAACCTCCCTCACCTATTGGCAGCTACATTTAGTTTAATTGAGACGGTTTTTACGATGTTTCCCGACCAGAGGCCCATAAAGTCGGGGCGAGAAGACTGTTTCCATTTTGGACAGAGAATACGATTGGCTGTTGATCACAAATTCAATCAGGTATAGTGATCCACAGAGCCCATGCGCACTTCAAAGTTGGGCATCGCAAGTGCAAGACACGCCGTGCAGACGCTCAGGCGCTGCGAGCAGCGACGAGGAGACGGGGGCAGTCGCGTCGCTGGTGGCCACACAGACTAAACTCATATGACAACGGCAACGACACGGATAGCTGATTTTGTCTTTGCTGATTGACGCCAGGCGAATTTCGTCCGCCGCATCGTTCAGTCCTGTCATTCGCTCGTACACAAACAAAGTTGCCTTACTGCATCGCACAAAAAACGACAGCTGAGCACTAATCATCGCCAGATGGCAAAGAAGACAGGCGAGTCAATATTTACAATCATAATTGCGCTGCAGCAGCAGGACAAAGTGCAAAGAGATTTGGCATCGCTGGAAGACCAGAAGGGATCTTTTTGAAAAGGAAGACACAAAGCAAGCGACCCAGAGGTTGAGGAGGCCTTTAATCAGTGCTCCTCCATTGTAGGTCCTCGGGGCTGCGTGGCAGAGGACTACTCCTAAAAACCAAGTCGAAAGACCTAAAAGACTGGTTCTAAGCGATAGTTGATTGATGATCGCGGAAGGAATGTGGTCAGTAGATACAGTCCAAGAATGTATACTTGGGATGTGCAGTGCTGATAATATGGGCGCTGAACATCGGAAATCAGAAGCGAGATTCAGCAGAGCACGGAAATATGGACTCACCACACTACAGGTGAACGTACGCTAAATTCCGGGGGGCTATGGTTAGTAGAGCTATGGGGGTTAGCGTCAAAGTTGGGGTTAAGAGGATTACGATTGTGTTGGAAGTGCCTACACTCCCAAAAACAAGAGCCAGCCAATCACTGGAGGCCACGTGCGTTTTCTCAGGTGCGTAGCCAGCGTGATCGTGGCGCCTCGTCATTGGCTGCTCCCCTTGAGCCCGATCGATCCATTTATGCGGGTAATCGATCAGCTTGTCTAGAACTTTCTTCTCAAAGAGCATTGGGCCGAATGCAGGCGAAGCCCAGTAGGATGTTATAACTACGCGTTATTTTCCCAGTAGACTTGACTTACAGTTTCCTTATACACTTTTCCATTGCCGATTGTGTTCTCCTTCTCTGCCGAGTTGGTATTGGGGACAAGAGCCGAGTGGGCATACGCTCCGCGTGATTTCTAAATACCAGGTCAGATAATAACAGGTTGGTGTTGGGGTTAAATTCAGGGCAGGGGAGTGGCTACCCCCGGAATCTAGCGCAGGATCACCTGTAGTACGTGGGGTTCCTCATTCGGTCTTGCCTCTGATTTCCAATGTTTTCAGCGTCCGCGGTGTCGACATTATACCTCTCGCGTATGTACTTTTGAGATGTATGTCGCGGCTATATTTCCTCCGCGATCATTAACCAACTTTTGCTTGGGGGGTCACGTGAGCAGGTCTTTTAATTAAATTTCTCAACTGGACTTTCGAAATGTTTTTAAGAATACTTTCATTTCCCGCTCTGGACGGCATTCCCACGCTACAAATGTGCCCCACTGTGACGCTGAGAAGACCAGGGGATCGTGTAAGTGTTCGACGCTGCACAAACAGGTCCCGGAACTTTCAAACAGTGGTAATAGCGGTAAACATTACAGTGGCACCTTGGCCGTTCTATATTGTTAGCAAAAAAATTGTAGATAAGCTCTAATGAGCTGAAGTCTGGAACTGCAGCGGCAGCCGCAAGAGATTCAGCTGCTTTTGGATAACTGCGCCACACACCCTCGTCTGAGTTGTTTCAACGGCATTCGGGTGGACTTTCTTCCTCCCGATACAGCATTTTCGATACAGCCAATGGGAGTGGGGATACAATTGTGTAATTATTTGCCGTACTGACAACGCAGGCACTGCGTAAATGCCCAGACACGCGTGTTCCACCGATCTTGTGCCACTGCCTGACGCAGCTGCGAGGGGTTCGGCTCATCAGTGGGTCCCCCAGCCTTCCCCCTGCGTTTTCTGGTATATGGACTTCAGTCTCACCTTGCCTTGTTTGATTTCCGGCGAAATTAATGCCCGAACTTGGAGTCAGTTCCTCAGAACAGACCATTTCAGGCACGGTCTGAAAGTTGATATACCAGAAGACACTTTTCGAAGGCTGGGGATCCCACTGATAGGTCGAACCCCTCACAACTGCGTCAGTCAGCGACACAAGAGCGGCGAAACACGCGTGTCTGGGCATTTAGCTAATACCTGTGTTGTTATTACGGTAACTAACTACACAATTCTATACTACTGGCTACCTGTTGGTGGTTAATGAATATCACGCTGTTGTTCTCCAGCAGCCGATGAATGTCAGCTCAAATATTCGCACAAACTCTCCGACCGTGCCTGAAAAGGTCTGTTCCGAAGAATTTACTCCAAGTTCGCGCATTAATTTCCTCGTAAATAAGTAAGTGGGACTCATGAGAACTCTGAAAACACTGTATCATGGAAGGTTAGAAGGATCATCTAGAGAGAACCTGTCGATACCCTCCTCGACCGACAGGAAAGTAAGAGCGAAAATCGTCATTTCAGAGGCAATGCTGTTTGACAGTCAAAGTTGATGGAAATTAAGTAGCAAAATAGTTCAGAAATACTTTGGACCGCATGTCTCGAAGAAATATAGCTGGAAAAGACGCCCCACGATCGATAATTAAGAGAGACCGATTTCGGAACTGAACCGCACTGAAAGCTAAAAGCAACGTCAGCGTACCTATTGCACACGATCGTGTCACCATGAACAGGATGACTGTGAGAGGGCGGAATCCGTGGAAAAACTGCGGCAAATCGACCGGAGACGTTATAAGATCAGGCAAGGTTTAGGGGTGGTGTGCCTGATTGATCGGATGATACTTTACGCAGGAAGGCATCGAGAGCGGTCATTTCCATGCCTGCACGGATTTTGAGCATACCAAGTACCAACGGAAGAAATGTAGCCACCCTAAGAAGCTATTTGTTCGAGTATTATTTATCCGAGCGAGTGAGTGAGGCCCAACCAAAGGCAGGTTTACTGGGGGTATGCTTCATGTTAATAATTTCCGCAACCTCATTTACGCAACTTTTGTTCTTAAAAGCGTAGTGCACCATGATAGGCATCATCTTATGAGTTTTAGCGCATGACGTAGGTCAAAGCAGTGATTATATCTAGTACGCCACCGTGATTTTGTCAACTTCATCGCCTGGCCTGCAATGACGTCAGGTTGCATGCGCACAGGAAAGCTTCAATCGCATTGTTAAACAATCATTTCGAAAAGAAGAATAAACAGTATAAGAAAGTCAGGCTGGGTGAGGGTAACCCTGCCGGATGGGTAAACGCCGTTGTGTGAGGATAGGAGGGTAAGAAGAATGCCCTTTTCACTTTAGTCAGCGCAGGCCTGACCGGGGGGGGGGCGGACGTTCTACGAGACCGCCATTTCCCCCAACTCTCCGATCTCAGTGCGGAGCTCAGAGTTGGCGGCCTCCCAGGTGTCATCCTTCTCCACTGCTGTCACCGTCGCTTCCGTCCGCCGACCGTGAGGCCTAAAATGCAGCAGAAACTCACGTGGCAGAGTCCGGCTGAGACTTGATGCGGCCTGTCTCAGGGAACGGCGTAGGCGTGCCCGAGTGGTCTCCAATAGGCTGTCAATGTATCGCGAGGACTGGGGGACCGCCGCCTCACGGGATGCTGCAACAGGAAGGCCAATGTCCTCCAGGCCCTTTAAGTTGCATCGGAGTTTGATCTTGAGACTCCTAGACAGCTGATGAATGATCATGTTGACTAGGTGGAAGCGCAGGCAGCGGGTGTTGGTGCTGACTGCTGCGGAGGCGGGAGGCACGATGAGGACGTTGCGCAGGGACCGCAGTTGGCTCAGACTGTCCTCCGCAATGCTCAGGGTGTGTGGAATGGTCAGTGCTGCTGCAGCCAGTTTGTGGCACCGGAGAGCCTCCGCCAGGGCGTCGAATCGGAAACTTTGCCCTAGGCATACAACAGGCAGCAGGGGACAGCGGATGTCAGCGTCTTTCCGATTAAGGTGAAATTTGTGTTCAAAGCTGAATATTGAGCAGGAGTTTTTTAAATCACTAGGTCTTATATTTTAGCAGACTGACTAGTACACCCATTTAGGAAGAAGACACTTTAGCGCACGTCGTTTAGCGCACGATTCGTTAAGTGACCAATGCATGACTAGTAAATTTATAAAAGTGCATGATTCCTTGAAAAAAAACTGTGTGACGGAATGAACTGGTCCAGCCTTCAACGCGGTCAATTACTGGTGTATGTATGAGAGGGTGAAAGTCGGATGGACTATGATTACACGTTAAGAATGATAGATGACATGCGCCTCAGTTTGGTGTGTGGAGCCCTGGTAGGGGCAATTTAGGGGGAGGAGGTATGAAGGCAAACAATACGTGTCAGGACTCGACTATTCTGTCACAGGTATGTTGTCCGTTGGTCCGTTTTATATGACTGGCTGACGACGGTTAATAAGCCAGAATTGGCCATTCCAGTCTCCCTTGTCTTTGTCGGTAATACCATTCTGCCTATAGAACGCGCTGCTGTGCTACTGCTGGTTGGACTCAAGAGAGAGCCCCAAGGCACAACAGGACGAGTGAGTTCCGTAACATGATCGGTGGGCGCTCTTTTACTATTAATATGTGTTGTAGATCAGACGTGGTATTCATTCCGAACCCATATAACAAAAACACGAAGAGGCTTTGAAAAATCCCTCTCATAGGCCAATAGTCTGTTTGTCCTATCGCGCTAATTAGTCTAGGGTCACAACCGAACTCTCTCGTTTGTTTTCATTTCGTCTGATGACGAGTTGTGTCAACAGCGCGAAAATTCCCCAGTACAACTCGATTTTTCCAAAAAAAACTTCCTTTTTTCTATACATATATATATATCAGAGGAGAGACGACAGAGACTTAGGATAGATTTATACAGAACTGTTGCGAGCTTGTTTGCTTTCATCAAGCCGCTCATAACCTTAACCATCAGCTTGGACCTGAAACAAGCCTGCGCAAACAGAGCTGATACAACTGGTCCATCACTGGGGTCTACCAGATGGGTCATAAACACTCCATCGAGCCGAAGTTCATCAGTGCCCTGCCACCTGTCATTCTCTGTTGCTGCAAGTCGGGTATTTATTCACTCAGGAACAGACGCACACCGACCTATTGACTTCCCGAAGCAAACAAGCTCCGTATGGCTGACACTGATGAATTTTTGTTCGATGAAACGCTCAGGACCCACCTGGTAGACCCAAACGGTAGACCATCTGCGCCAGCTCTGTGTGTGCACATTTGTGTATCCGGTACCAGCTGGTGGCCGCGTTATGGCTGACTGAATAAAGGCAAAAGAGCTTACAACAATTTTGTACCAATCTACCCCCAGAGTCTGTCCTCTCCTCTCTGCTGTCATAACTTGGCCGACTTCGGCCTGGTAGGTGGTTGTCTGTTCGTGACCCCTGTCATGCATACGAAGCTTGTTTGCTTCGGGAAGCTAATGGATCGGTGTGCGCCCATTCCTGGGTAAATATATGTAGTGGGCGACCCAACTCATAAAATATGCCTAATCTGACGTAAAATCACTAACCAAGCGGAAACCAGTCCGAGTGCATCCACCAAAACAACAAACGAATAACTGAACGACCTAAACATAAATAAAAACGAAAAATAAGTGTTCTAAGAGCTATTTTGTTGATGAGAAAGGACGGTTCTATTAAATAAACAGAAATGTTTAAAATGCAAAAATTAATGTCACATGACACGACTCAAGTTTTAGACGTACACAGTGCTTGTCCATGCATATACGTGACCGAAGAAAACGGCGACAGCGCAATAGCGTTTAAAAAATTTTCACGTCCCCTTACACTTTTAGGCTTCGATGATCTTGTCTCCTTTAATACTCGCGCAGATGCCCCTCTTGATCTTATTCTGACTAACCACAGCAAGCTTTTTTGCGTAAAAAACAGGGCTCCATTGTCAGGTTCTGACCATTCCACTTTATTGTGCCTTCCAAAAATCTATTCCACTTCAAAACGTGCACTGCTTGCCAAGCCTTAGAGAAAGGTTAAGGTTCGCAACACGTCCGCCCAAAACATTCTCATGCTTCAGACTTGCATTTCTCTTACTATCCCCACTTCCCTTGAACATTCTAATGTTGAATCCTGTTCTTCCGACCTGACAGCGTTTTTAAATGAAATTTTCGATATTTGCTGCCCTTTTGATACTGTTATGGTACGACCGGATAGAATTTCTTCCCCCTATCTGAAATCGTTAAGACGTAAAAAAGAACTCCTTTACAAGCTAGGCTTACGTGATAGCCTTAAGGACGTTACCGTCTTAATAAAAACAGAGATTGACAGGCTAAATAGCCTGTTTGTCAGCCAAATTTTTCCTCTTCTTACTCCCCCCCTTTCCCCCCTTCCTCAGCTGAGATTTGGAAAAATCTTAAGCGTCTCACTGGCCATCGCAACACGCTGGTGCATGTGGATGCAGATTTAGACTCCCTAAATAAAAATTTTATATTTAGTCACAATGACTCCCATCTTCCCTTAGAAGACATTCCCCTATCACCGAGTACATTCCAACCCGTGTCTTTGGCAACAGTAGAGGAACACCTTAAAAAGGTCCGTGGATCAACAGCTGCCGGACCGGATGGTGTCTCGCCTTTTCTTCTTAAATCTTGCAGTTCTCAGATGGCCCCTATTTTAACGCACTTAATCAACATGTCTTTCATGGAGCCCAAGATTTCCGACGCCTGGCGTACAGTGAGAATCACTCCCATCCCTAAAAAGCCTGCTAACTTTGGTCCTAAATCTTTTCGCCCAATTGCCTGCTCCTCTGCAATACTAAAGCTTGCTGAAAGAGTTGCCCTAGATATCATAAAACCTTTTTCTTCCAGTTTTTCTGACCCCTTACAATTCGCATACAAAGCTAAACGGAGTACTTTAGATGCTGTCGCTCTTGTGGTCCACTCTGCTCTAAAAGCATTAGACAAGGGTTGCCGCGAGTATGCGTGCGCTTTTCTTGCTTACTCCTCCGCCTTCAATACCGTCCCGCGTCCTCTTCTCCTTTCCAAAACCTCCGCATGTGGCTCTCCAGGCTGGGTCGCCTCTTGGCTGAGCGATTATTTTACCTTCCGCACCCAATTTGTCCAATCTGGCAAGCGGAAACCTTCGACCCTTCCCAATGACTGCGGTGTTCTTCAAGGTTCCATTCTATCCCCTCACCTTTTCTCCCTCCACACTGATGATCTCAGGTCCCCTAATGACTGTCTTCTGGTCAAGTATGCTGACGATGTGGTTGTTGGACACCCTCTCAAAAGTCAGACATACCTCCGGTCTCTAAAGGATGGCCTAAACCATGTCCTAGTGTGGTCGGAGGAAAATGGTCTCCTAATTAACAACCAAAAATCCGTTCAGTGTATTTTTCGACTGCGGCCCTCTCCTAACCCTGATTCCTCTGACATTTTTCCTAATGAGGTATCCTCTTTTAGGTATCTCGACGTTACTTTGTCCTCAAATATCTCGTTTTCCCTCCATATTGAGTCCCTATTTATTAAAGTTCGTAAACTTCTTTACTACATTCGTCGTTTGCGTTCCTACCACGCACCTCAACCCTTAGTCTGGCGATTCATTGATGTCTGCATTCTTCCTCTTATCCTATACTGTTCTCCTGTCGTTTTTCCTGCTTTGTTAAAAAAGGATCTTTTAATTTTGAAACGAATCCTCCGCATGCTCTCTTCTGCTGCTGGCGTTTCTTATATTTTTTTAGTTGACACAATCTTACAACGACACTTCAATGCGGTCAAGCAATTTGCTGGTCGAATTCTAGATGACGTTGCCCATCCCCTACATTCCGATCTTATGTCTGCCAAGTCTTCCCGCCCGATGCGCCGCAACTTCCGTCTTATATCCTGTCGCACATTGGCTTATCGAGCCTCTGTATTGCCCTTCTTAGCGCGCTATCTTACGTGCGAAGAGAAAGAAATACAGAAGCTCAGACCTGAACTATCCCCATAATAATCGTTTCTTTGACTGTTGAATAATCTCTTAATTTATTTACTACCCTCAGTGAATGGAGCCAATTTTTTGCTGAAAATTTTGAACTTACGATTTCAAAATAAAGCGCATTCCTCTCTCTCTCTCAAATATTGCCCAAGAAGTGTTGCTGTTTGTAGTCCAACACGAAGGGAATTTTGTACTGTCTGGCCATGTATTTCAAGAGACTGCTTCTGTATTGTTTGAAAAGCGGTTGGTTTATGTAAAGGGGATTCCCCTTGATTCCATTGACATAGACATCACAGGAATAAACGTTTCCATAAGGTCACATACTGACAAACAGATCAATTATTTTAAATTTGAATAGAATTGGCAGATGCAGTCGCAAGAATGCATTTTTGTGGATGTTAAGAGAACTTTTCTCCCATCAAATTTATGAGCCTTTTTTGCTGACAGTAGAGGATGCTGAATTTCAGTGTCCTTAAAATATCAATGAGTATTTTATGACTTCCAATGCTTTCAGCTCATTGTACATAACGATAGCTTCTCTCCTATGTGTTTATTGAAATTCTCTCTTAAATAAAAACAGGCTCTAATGCACAGCTAATACTACGGCTGCCAGTAACCTTAGACATTTCCCATATATAGAGTAATGTTGATGTCTGCCCAGGTGCAGACATTATGCCTGGTAAAATTACATATATTCTGTAAGGAGGGACATTTTTCGGGAAGGGCCAGGCGAATGGGTAGACTGTGCAGCGCCTCATACACATAAAATAACTATCTCCATGTCTGTCATCACGTTTCATGAGTTGCGACAGATACTACATATATATGTATATGCAGCATGTTATTACCGACGAAGACAAGGGAGACTGGAATGACCATTTCTGACTTATTAGCCGACGTCAGTCATTCATACCCAAACCCGAGGTGTGGAACACCCGAGGCTCGAACTCGTGACCTGTTTGTTAGAAGTCCGTGCCTCTAACCACAGAGCCACGAGCCCACTGCCCCGTCGGTTTTCGATCGGGAATATACAATGGCAGGGAGCGCTCACCGATAATTCTTACGGAACTTACTCGTTCCGTTTCGTACATGTTAAAGGGTCTGGTCTTAAGTGACCTCGACACAACTTTTAGGGTGATTCTCTAAAACTTAACCCTAACATTGGACTATACTTGCCAGAGATACTGTTGTCCTCGTCTTCCTCCCCCCCCCCCCTTCCTACTCATTCTCCTCCTTCATCCTCCTTCTAATCACCACCATCGTCGTTAACGCGCTCCTCACCGTCATCAGTTAGTAACTACCAGTACAGTAAAGACCGTGGGGAACATGTCCCTTCTCATTACGTCAGTATTGTCAACACCCTCCTCCTTCTTCTTCTTCTTTTTCTTCTTCTTCTCCTTCTCGTAATCGTGGTCATCGACCTTATAAAGCCCACCGTTCTCATCATCGCGCTCCTCATGACAAACTCCATCGTCATCGCCATTATCTTGAACGTCATCTCTGTCATTATTCTCATCCTCCTCCTTTCGTCCATCAACATCATAATTCTCCTCACCAGCATTGTCCGTTGAATCATGAGCATCAACATGGTCCTCCATACGATCACCATCCTCATTCCCATCACCTGTCTCTCCTGCACCACCGGGTCACTACTAAGTTCCACATCACGGTCCCCATCATCATCATCATCATCATCATCATCATCATCATCATCATCATCATCATCATCATCATCATCATCATAATCGTCTCCATTATTATTATTATCACCGTCCCCGTGCCAATAGTCGCTGTCAACAGCATTTTCACCATTATTTGCGACCTCTTTCCTCTTGTTATTATCACAAAAATTACCAGCGTCATCATTATTGCTGTCAGTACAGTCGCCATCGCCACTTTGGTCATTATTATTACCGTAGACTGTGTTAGATCATTCATCGTCGTCGATAACAGTTCGTTAGTATCGTGCCGCTCACGTCGCGAACAGCATCGTCACATTCACACTACTCCACCTCCTCCTCTTAATCGTCAACAGTATCGTCCTCGTCAGTATCATACTAACCGGCATCAGGTTCGTGGTCGTGATCGTCATCATTCTCATCACCAACTACACCATCTGCATGACCCCCACTGACAGTTTTGCAGTCAAAAATCTGGAGGATATCACTGCATATCTTCAGTTCCGTGTTGAAGAAGACAGCATTACAATTCAAGCCGAAGGGCTGACCGATGTTTGACATCCTGGCTACAGTTTCGTCGACGATCTTGCTGCCTCTTTAGATTCTACTCAGGAAGTATGCAGACTTGTCCACGGGTGGGAAACGATGCCCCCGGACGCCAATCATGGGTTCGTCGCATTTTTCAGCTGGTGCCGGTTGGTATGTGACCACTGTCTTCTCCGTGCTTATGGTCACTCGGTTGTGGTCTTCAACGCGCAGTTGTCTGCCAGTAATAGGTTGTGGTCACTGGTCCTGAATTCTTTCAGTTCTACCGCCATACGTCGGATGTTCGATAGTCGGCGGAAGTTAACCTTGATTCTAGGTCAGCAGATAGGGGCATGACGCCATGGAAGGTAGGAACGAGGATACGACCATGCTTCATCCCCTTTTGTCGACTGAAATCCTCCAGAGACTGAATCATAGCCCGTGACGTGCGCGATCATGCCGTCACGCGGCTCTCTTACCACGTGTGTTAATCGACCCCGACATTTTTGAGTTTCAGCAGGATTTTCTAAAGTCCATCGGTCCATTCGAGCCGAACGTTGATTTTAAATCGAAAAATCTAGCATGCAGGTTTATCGTCGTTATGTGGCATTTGCCTAGCAGTTGGTGGACCGCGAACAGCAAGTCTGTTATAGGATGCCCTTCTGTGGTTAATTTCTGCACAAGGTGGAGGTGCAGGCGAGTGAGCGAAACTATCTTGACAGCAGTGCTGGGAAGGGAGATGTCGCGGTCATTCTTACAGATCTGGGTTTGTCAAGAGGACTCCGGAACCCCCTCCCTCCGCATCCGGACATCCCCCCCGGAACAAGACGTGCGCTGGCATCTTTCGGTTGCCCTCGTTCGGAGATGAAAGTCTCTCTGAGGGGGGTCGCGACGTCCACTTTGTATCATACCAGTTTGCAGACGACCACCTCTGTCCTCTTTTCTGGTCGGTTATCTGAATGAGAAGACGAATCGCAAGCTGCCAGACTGGGTAAAGTCAGCCCAGCTGTGGGGACAGTGGAATGGGGACAGAAATTGTTTCAGTTTGTTTTTAGCCACGGTCAGTTGTGTAGTTGGGCACAATTTCCAGCCCCTGCCTCCCGTGGGAGAAACAGCGAGCCCCGAATTGGACTGTTGAGGTATCCCCGAGTCTTGACCGGTCCCACGAGGTCTCGCGACTGGTGAAATGAGAAAACGTCCAGAAATGGCCTGAGCCATCTACAGACTTACATGCCTCCCCTCCGTAGGACTTATTTTAGGATACCCTCACAAGATTTAGACCGTCAGTCAGAGACGGCCAGCGAGGTTTGACTGCTATGCTTAGAATGACCACACGGAGGACCAATGCAGGAGCGTACACCAAGTTAACGATGTGCTTGGTGAGCTCACCGCTCCCCTAGCATAGAAATGTCACTAAAGGCATCTGTGAGTCCACACTGAAAGGGACATTTAAAAATGAATCCACGACACACAACACTCTATAAATCCCTCCAAAGTGGGAATTTAAAAACTTCTCAAAGCCGAAGAGTGCCATAACTTCAAGTGTGAGAGTTGAAGAAAAAGAAGAAGGAGAAGAAACAGACACGAGTTGATATCAAATAAGTACAAGAAATAATATATTAATGGAGGTTTTCCACAAAATTTATTTGAATTCATAAGGGCACCGAAAATCGACAGAGAAAACATATACAGTGGGTAGGCTAACTCATAAAATGTCAACCGAAATTCCGAAAGGCGTTTTCGTTTCGAAAAGATTTATTAAATAGGGTTGTAAAGCTACTCATCCTGCAGCATAATTCTATAATAATTCAATAACCCCAGCATGCTGGCTTTCGAACGAACCTCCTTCCGGCTGCCTACAAAAACCATACCCTTTAAAAAATGACTACGTATGTAGCATGCATTTTCCTCGTTGATTTTTCGATGCCTCAAAAAGTTCAATTATATTTAATGGAAGACATGAATAAAAATATTCATTCCTTCACTTTTTCGGTAGAAAATTGCGTCTTCTTCCAATTTTATACTCAACGGAAGGGTATTATTCGGTTTTCAAAAACTTTTCTAATTCCCGAATAATTTTCAACCCGCTCTGCCGTTACTTGTATTCAGGGTTTCCAAGCTACAAGCCATGTATTCTCCGCGTACAGAAACCCACACATTTCTCTACGGTATTAAAAGGAGACCATATGGGTTCATAAAATCTAGCATTGGATTTGATCCATATTGTTAACTTTAGAAGCCACATTGGTAAATGCAGGGACATGACGTTTTATGAACGGCCATTTCACGGTATTAAAAAATCTCACAATTAGAGACTTTTTAAAACCAAATTACACCCTTCCTTCGAGTACAAAATTGAAAGAAGACGTCATTGTCTACCAAATTATTAAAAGAATGAATATTATTTTGCGTATCTTCCATGAAATATAATTGGACTTCTAGGGGCATCGAAAATCAGTGAGAAAAATTCATGCTACATAAGTAGTCATTTTTTACAGAGTGTAGTTTTTGCATGCAGCCGGAGGGAAGTTCATTCGAAAGCCAGCATCCTGTGGTAACTGATTTATTATAGAATTATGTTGCAGGCTGATTAGTTTTACAAACTTACTTAATAAATCTTTTCGAAACGAAAATGCATTTCGAAATTTCGGTTGAAATTTAATGAGTTAGCCCACCTACTGTATTACCTAAGTAGCCACATTCTAACAAGTGCTGTTTCTGCGGGTGGCCGTGAAGAGGTGCACTTGAAAGCCAACACCCTGACGTGTCTGAAATATCACGGGATTACGTCACAAGATAGACAGTCTTACAGCCCCGCCGACGCAATCCTTCCTAACCGAAAACGCATTTCAGAATTTTGGTTAGCATTTCAAGAAACCAGCCACTATGGACCGTCGGTCAGGGACTGTTACCGAGGTTTTGCTACTGTGCACAGCACAACATCTTCGAGCCAAGAATGAGAGCTGGATGCCCAGTTGAGGACCGAGCCAAGCAATCGCCACGTGCACAGGGGTTTCCAGAAGGATTAATCACTCCTGGCAGTTTCCTCCTCCCACCTAGAAACGCCATACACTCCACATCCCCAATTATTTGGACCCAATCAACACGACCTCTCATCTCTAGCCCGCCAGCGCAGTTTATATTCCACCACTTGCAGACGTTACACAACCTTCTTCCACTGGACTGTGCCCAAAAACGGACAGATGCCAGTGGACCCGTCGCTGATCCCAATGAATAGCATGTTCGATATTGCAGCAGGGACACCTTGGTTCATGCACACTGCTGCCTAATACCACTCACACTGTTCTGCCCACTTGTTCGGCGTCCATCAAGGCTCTAAAGCTGTACCCCCTCCCCCCCCCTCCACCAATAACAGTACCACCAAAACACTCCATTCTGAATGGTTTACCGTACTGATGGCACGGGTACCACCTAAAAAGCCCAAACACGCGTGCTTCGTCAAGTTCGTGCATCTGCATGACTGTGAGGAATTAGGCTCATCAGTGGACCCCAACGTTCCAACTCCAGCTTCAACTCTGCTTTGTTTAATTTCCGAGGAAAGTAATGCGCGAACTTGGAATAAATTCTCCAGAACACAGCTTTTGCAGGCTCGATGCGAAGGATTATGTGAACAGTTGAGCTGAAATCAATCAGCTACTGTGGCATAACCGTGTAATATTCCCAAGCTGCCAACAGGCAGTCAGTAGTGTACAATTGTGTAATATAATTGTGCGATAGTAATACTCCCGGACTTGTCCCACCTGTTCGACATCCACCTAAGCTCTAAAGATTCCCTCCCCCAGCAATAATGTCGGCATCAAAATACTCCATTCTGTTGCAACTGTCACCACGTACTTAGGGCTTGAATTTCACCCCTTAACCAGGCCACTCGGTTGATGCGTCGAGCTAGATCGGAGTCCAGCAGGCGTTATCGAGGATGCGCGCCCATAACAAATGCCAACATTCAGGATGCAATGGCGGGCCGAGTTACAATTGCGATCCCTCCCGTCCTCATTTTTGTTGTTGTTGTTGCTGTTGTTGTTGTTGTTGAAAACCCTGGTCAAATGTTTGCTGTGTAGCCGGTGGTGTGGTGGTACACCTGGGTGCGGTCTTACGCCGTGACAACCACATGCGGCCTCTCTCGCCTCCGGTCTTCTTGACTTGGTCATGACACTGGACCAAGGTAGGCGGGGGTGGCCAAGAGAGCTTTCGGTAGATGCCGCACAATTCAACTATTACTATAAACTGATTCACACGTAGGTCACTCCCCCTCGTCCTCATCCGGTAGACATTTGAAATCGACGGCCGACCTGTCGAGGTCTAGGATTGTACTGGCTGGAGAAACAGCAAGCACTAGGATGCTTCACTTATTGGGTGAAGAAAGAACAGTCTGATTAACTCGGCAGTCGTCGATAATGACAGAGGCGCCAGTAGCAAATATAAAACCTCTTTTTGACCTATAAACGTGTTTGCTTTAGGGCAGTCGCCTGTTCTACGACTATATAAAGACACCGATGATGTAGAATTTTATCTACTTCGGTTTTCAGACTGCAGCTTTCTCTAAGAAAGTATTGCCTTCTGGTCTATTAGCCGTTGTCGAGCGGTCATATGTGTGCGTGTGTGAAGGGAGTCTTGGTGGGGTTATCAGGAGGAGAAGCATAATCACCTCATGTTCTGTTAACGAGATCGGATAGGTGATTTGCTCCGAGCCCTTAAAAAACTAGAACTCAATATTGTTGTTGAATCAAGGCCCAAATCTCTTTCTGTCGCTCCAGGAAAAAGGAACATTTCTTGCATTGACTCACCTGATGTTGTACATATAAGTACAGCAGACGGTTTGAAATAATTGAAGTCCGAGTCCTGCAGTTGCAGTCGAGAGCGTAAAGATAGGGATGCATTGCAGTAGGACCGTCTTTTGCTTAGCTTTGTCCAGGAAACTCGCTGATTTTGCGGATCCTCGAGCAGCGTGACGACATCACTCCGCCTCAGCAGATCTTTCAAATCGGCGCAGAACTCGTGGTCACAGTCGGTGCTTTGAAAATAAAATGGATGCTCAATGATCTATCTACTTATTATATTGTAGTAGGCACTAATTGTAATATTTATGCCGGCCAAGAACGAGTTACTCAGGAGGGCGTACTCACAGGGGATACTTCTGATGGTAAATTATTGGCATGCCCAGTGCCCTGTTGATGAGGTCAGCTATCCTTCTGGCCAGACTGCTTGTGAGACCAAGGAAACCCACCACAGTCTCTCGCATGGGTTTCACCCATCCTCGCTCGGCAGACCAGCCGTCAAGGTCACCAAGGGCAGCAGTCGTGCGCCTAGGACCGAAATCTGCTCGCCATTCTCTACCGGATACGTCCAAAGTGAGACTAGTAGGCGGCGCGGTTGTACTACCCGCCTGGCCCTCAAGAGATGCCGCACCAGAGTCTGAACTGCCTTTGACCCTGCCTTGTTTACGGCCTCTCCGTACTGGGGAATTTTGGCGGGTGAGACAGGCACTGTTCAGACTGAGGAAACGCTGGTGCACACCGTCAACGTCGCCATCCAGGAGGCCTGAAAAGATATGACATTCAGATTTGAAGTTCTGTCTACTTAAATGATCGTGGCCACTTAGCTGGCAGGTTTTCACTGCCGTTGTTCAGGAGAAAGGAGTGGTAACAGTGTGTCATTATACAGGCCGACGATTAAAATAAAATTGAAAGGAAAGGTAGATACAGAAGGGCGGGAACTGGGAAATAAGGGCAAAATGAAGAAATGAAGGGCGACTAATACGAATGACGATGGCAGCCCCGGACTCTGGTAATTGCTAGTCAGGACAAGTTGTGTTGATATGGTTATCTGTCTATACCATCCCGATCGCATAAGCCTAAGGAAGATACATCAGGTGTGTTAACTCATGAAATGTCAACCGAAATTCTGAAATGCGTTTTAGACTCGAAAAGATTACTTAAGTACGATTTTACAAGTGAATCTTATGCAGCATGATTACATACTAACTCAGATACTTCGGGATGCCGGCTTTCAAACGGACATCTTAATGACCGCACGAAAAAACCACGCCCTGTAAAAAATGACTAGTTAAGCAGCATGATTTTTTCACACTGATTTTCAATGCTCTTGTAAATTCAATTAGATTTCATGGAAAACACATATAAAAATATTCATTCTTTGGCTCATTCGGTAGACAACTATGTCTTCTTCCAGTTTTATACTCAAATAAAAGGTGTAATTCAGTTTTCAAGAACTTTTCCAATTCCCGATCAATTTTGAACCTGATCTCCCATTACACTTGTATTCACGGTTTCCAAACTACAAACCGTATGTCTTCTGCGTAGGATAAATTATACATTTCTCTACGGTATAAGAGGCGACCATATGTGGTTTATAAAATTTACCAGTGGATTTGAGCCATATGGTAAACGTTACAAACCACGTCAGTAAAGGGAGAGACATGATATTTTACGGACGGGCATTTTACGGTGTTGAAAAATCTCATAATTTGAAACTTTTAAAACCGAATTATACCCGTCCTTTAAGCAAAATGTGGAAGAAGACGTAATCTTCTGCCGAATGATTAAAAGGATGAATATTTTTACGCCTGCCTTACATGAAATGTAGTTGAATTTATGAGGGCATCGAAAATCAATGAGAAAAATCCATGCTACGTAAGTAATCGTTTTTTGCAGAGTATGGTTTTTGCATGTGGCCGAAAAGATAATCGTTCGATAGCCGGTATCCCGAGGTATCTGAATTATTAGAGAGTTATGCACCATGATGACTAATTGTAAAACCTTGCTTAAATGATCGTTTCGAAACGAAAATAAATCTCAGAATTTCGACTAAAATTTCATGAATTAGCACCTGGACACGGTGCCCAATCCACGTTCGCATGCGGTTATGCACCCCTCTAAAGTTTCATTCATCCGTATGCCGGAAACCGTTTTGATTGGTTCGCCAAACATAGGCGGGGAAACAGCCGAGCTCAAACACGGACCACAAGTATCCGACTCCCTGACGTCAGTTTCGGTATCGGCAGTGGGTGGCATCACCATCGGAGGAAGACCGCATTAAGAAACCAATATGTCTGGGTTAGAAATAGAAACACCCGGAAGAAGCCATCGCGCCGAACCACATTACGTAGACCCCTTTCTTTACTTTGAAACCCGAACGAACCAGAGATGTTCAACAGTGTACACCATTATCCTCAGATAATGCTGTACACTGCAACTGTCGACTGCCGTAAAGTGAACCCAACAGCGGGCTTTCGCGTAAATCCGTACCTTGATGTCCTCGTCTGGCGCAAAGAACGTGGCGTTGCGTCACGAGAATAAAAGGCCAACTTCCACGACAGGAAACGTCCGGAGTCTTTTACGGGATCCGGTGCAGCAGGTACGTCGTAAAACTAGAGGACTACTCTGGATGCAGATGAGAGAACAGGCGACGGCAGATAGGAGGAATGATAGTAAATCTCAAGTCGCGGGTCATTCGATGGGAGTCGGCCACACCTTAAAGTTTGACGAGGTCGAAATTCTCGTAAGAGGGGAGGGCGCGTAAGCTTCGAGTGGTTTGGGTCATGGTTCTCAGATCCTCGGTCAGTCAACAAGCGCAATGACCTCTCGCCCCCATATTCTATGGGGAGATTTCTCCCAGACAGATTAATTAATCACGTGGAAAGACGCCGGCAGCCGACAGTTTCAATGACAACCAGCCAAACTTCCATTTATCACGCCAAGAATCCAAAACGGTAATTGCATTTCGGCAATTGACGACTCGGGTGCGGATTAAAAAGCAATCGTCGCATTAATTACGACCCCCCAAAGCTGAACACGAGACTTGTTAATCACAGTAGGCATATGGCTGCGTGGCAAACGCATCATACAAATACTTCCCTCCTTTTTGCGGCACCAGTACCATTATCTGAAAATATCTCTGATGATTGTTTCGAGTGAGAATCCGAAACGTCAGGCCAGTAAACCTCTTGTTCCAGCGATCACCCCTTCCCTTTTTGAACTGCTTCCTGGGACTCGTCTCTTCTCATCTGTCGACAAAACTGACGCTCTTTAATCCACTTCGGAGCACTAAGTGTCAAGGTTTTGAAGAATGCCAACTGGTGGCAGAAGTCAGTCCTACCATGTGGAATCCCGGCCGTCATTTTTCTAATCTGGTAGTGCGAATTGCACGCGTCAGACGTACTGTTCAGTTTTGTTATCCACTGTGCCCCGCACCCACCTTTGGCCGTCTTGGCATTATCTTGTTGTTGGATCATGGTGGGCGGGTGGGTAAGGAGAGGGTGCGATATGCGCTACGCAAGTCCGCCCCACTATAAACTAACTCGCAAGAAATTCGCGGTTTTTGCGCCCACTGCATGTGGCACAAGGTGGAGGTCGTCGTTTGCTACAGTCGAGCCATCAGTCACACTGCGGTCTAACTATATTTTCCGAGTAGAGCTGAGTTATGCAGCCATTCAAGCTGCGACTTTTAAGATACACTGAGAACCCAGGTCACGTTACGTTTACTGCAGTGAATGAATGTCTCACTGGGCAGGTCTCGGTCTGCCTCCTCTCACTCTCCCTTCTTATCCACCTCTCTCACTTAGCCCATCGCATAACGTCAGCCCTATTTATCGGCCCACTGTTGCAATAGTAAATGCACGTATTGATAAGTTCAGAATGAGTGAATATGCTCTGCGAATTCCTAGGCCGCCTGTCTGTGGAGGAAGTCTGGTACTTTTTACCAACTACTCCTCGAGTAGGTCTAACAACTGTTTAATTCAGCCGGTGCACCTCCTGCACTGAGGCACTACCGGAAGATTGCTGATAAAAAGGCCTTAGATGAGTCATTGGAGGCAGGAGACAGGAGTTCAGACGTGAATGTTGGTTTCGGTGGAAGATAAGGTCTTCTTGGAACTGTCTCACCAACACTGTGAGACGGGGCTACTCACGCTCAGTCGTATTCCTCCCCGTCTCCCTCCCCTTGTGAAAGAAAAAAGATTATCGAGGACGGTTGTGGAAGAGAGGAGTCGAGAAGCTATCACGCACGACTCGTCTATCAGAGAGAGCTGAAATTTCATTCAGCGTCGGTATATACAACGGCGTTAAACGTATAGCCTTCCAGAAAAAAAAACAACTTTTCGTGCAGTTTTCGGTGGCATTTTTTGATTAGGTGAACGAGAGTCCTCGTTTATTGTTGATACTACGCAAATTTTGATGATGCTTTATTAGTACTGAAGGAGTATGTCGTGTCAGTGCTTTTAATAGTCACATTTAGTTGATAGATGGAACATTCCAAACCACGGCTTTTGGCGCAACTAGCCCTAACTCCAATCCTACCAATAAATTCAGGGCAGGACCACCGGTAATACGGGGAATCCCTATTCCTGTGCACAACCCCAATGCACCCTTCTTTACTGTCGTCAAAATACGAGGAGTACCTGTTGCGAACGGACGGTTAAGGAAGTTTTTGGTAGTCTCTGAATAAATAGTAGCGTCGTTGAATCTACCTGTTCCCGTCGGAAAGGAAATTGAGGATGTTAGAGGGACGTTCAGCGATAACGTTACGGAACTCACTGGTTCCGCTGTGTCTTTGGGCTCTCTCTCGAGGTCCGTCGGCCCCGTTTGGTTGGCCGACGACGGCTAATGGGTCGGAAATGGCCATTCCTGTCTCTCCTACTTTTTCGGTAATAATTTTCTGCTTATATTGCGCGTCCTTATGCGACTGCTAGAGAGAGAGCCCTAAGGCATGACGGGACGAGTGAGTTCCGTAACGCGACCAATGCGCGGCCCTCTGCCATAATATAAACCCGATCGCAACCGACAGGACGAGACCGTGGCTTAGTGGTTGGGAACGTTGGACTTCTAACCAACAGATCGCGAGATCGAGCCCCAGCTATCCCACACCTCAGGGTTGGGTATCACTGGATGACGGCGGCTAGTCAGCCAGAAATGGCCCTTCCAGTCTCCCTTGTCTTTGTCGGAAAGTAATAATTGAGTAACTAAGAACCAGCACATTAGCCTGCAAGACCAGATCTAAACTCCATATCCAAACATGCTGTCAAACCCCAGTGGATTGCGTCGCTACAATATGAGTATATTTTGCGCATTAAAGAGGTTAGGAAATAATAGGAGACAGGTTATTAACTAAGAGTACTGACAACAGGATTGCCTCTACACGTGATGTAATACAACAACCGACTGTGATTGACGTCAGTTGGGACCTCATTGTCCCTTAATCCAAAACCATTGTCTCCCTATTTCTACCTTGAGATGCACAAAGAAACGGCCGCTATGCTGGATAATATGGGGGTCAGGTAAGGGTACATCACACGCTATTTTGGCTGCGTACCCATAGCGACGCCGCACGTAGGAAGTGGGGCGGCGCGCCTGGGCTCAGACTCACTCCACGCCAGCCATCTGCGTCCGATTCCACCTCCGGTCTTTTTGCCTCGGTCTTGACACCGGGCTCAGGTGGTTGATGAAGGAGGGACTGCGGTAGATGCAGCAAAAGCCTGCCATCGCCAACAGTTGACATCGGTGGAAGCCACGGTAGAGTCGACTGATTTATTTCATGTAGGGATGTAAAGCAGTCATCTGACAGCCGCAAGCGGCTGTGTAGTAGATCGTTGGACCAATACGGCAGTCAGGTTGGCTCCTGACACGCATAATCGCGTGGTTCCACGACTACTACCGTCTGTAACGAGAAGGTGGAAGATCGTTGCGCAAGTCTGCCTCAAATTAACGCACAGGTCACCGGTACTGCGCTCAGCCTGTGGGGCACACCGTACACGTTGTCGTTTACGACAGCCGAACTGTAAAATATTCGAATATGCATCTCAGTGCTTATGGTGTGGTGAGAAAATTAGGCTCGGACGTATCTCCGAGGCATCGATGGTGGAAACCATGTCTTTGCGCATATCCGCATTAAAGAATCAAGTATCCGGGCCACAGGGTAATATCAATCAGATGAGTGCACAGAAAGGCCCATTTCCGATTTGCATGCGGCAGTTTGCAGTCAACGCACAATAGCTACAGTAAGCTCTACTGTAACGCCTTCTCGCATCTCTGGGGCATTTATGATAAGCAGTGAGATTTCTCAAAGCTTTTGTGGGTTTCTTCTTATTGCACTTTGGGAAGAAGTATGTAATGATCGATTGACAAAGATTTGGGTCATTTGGATCAAAGATCAGATGGAAACAGGCCGACATCCTGTCGTCGCTTATAAAGTCCATGCTGAAAATGCCACCGTACGTATGCAGGTCGGGCCTCACGAAGTTAAGCAAAGGCTCATAGTGCGGACGGATGAACGGATTTCCCAGGTCACTCTTGGCTCCCTTTGGGGAAGGCACGAATTTTGTCACCCAGCCTCGGTGACAAGAAAGAAGAATATCCATCTCAGGTCTGAGTCTCCATAGTCAATTCAGTTGACCGATACAACTCCCCGTCTCCCTCGCCCACATTGCGTCACGCCCCCATTACTGAATAACGTGAATCCAATTTCAATCATGGAAGTTAGCGGCCAACAGGCGATAAAACATTATAAAAGCCAAGTATCTGTTCTCGTATTGTCAGTGCATCAGGCAATGAAGTCCTTCACGGGTCTGGAAAGTTGGACGACTCGGATCGATGAAGCTTCGAAAACACCCATGAGGACTGTTCCGTTTTTTCGCATTTTTCTTCACTTGACTAGTTGGAGGACCGTAACGTTCAGATTTAGATTAGAAATAGGACTAGAGTTAGAGTTAGGATTGTTTTTGGGTTCATGGCCAGTAACAGGGTTAATTTTGAGATTAAACTTAGAACTGAACGCAACCCTGACCTTAATCCTAATAGTGATCCCGACCAAAATCCTAGAAGTGACCCTTATATCTTAGCCTTCACCCCAGCCATAAATCTAACCCCAACCCCATTGTAAGGCCGTTCTCGACGCCCTCTGCATGTAATTACAAGCCATAACTACTCAAATAAAAAAGTAGAAAGTGAAAACTTTGTCAAAGTTTCTAAAGGAACATCTTGCCAACATAGAGCATTAACTTTTTCTGTCGTCAATGTCTCCTGTCTTTCTTCAGTCTTTCTACTGACACTGACAGTACATATGCGGATTTCCTTCAAAATTTCACACACAACATAGGTATCAAAAAGGATGAATGGGATGACTGATAACACTGGCATACTTTAAGATGGGACCGTTTGGCACCCAAAAGCACTGTCAACTTCGACTGAAACATCGGCTACCGTCAGGTAGTTGAATGCCTCAATCCCATCCAGTGAAAGAATTAAAGGACACCGGTAGATGGGTTTGCCCATTGGCCAACTTTTTGACTACCTGGCGAGACTATGTCCGCCTGATGGCGGAACGACCTCCATCGAAGACTAAGTGCGAAGTTGGCAGACTTTCACATCTAGTGAATAAACACTCGCGGATTGACGGCCCAATGCTCTAAGGATGTGTATGACCCAGCTCTGGCACAGTGACTCCTCAGCTCATTCGGCAGGACCCCCCACACCTTCAACCTAGGCGAGGTCGAGCTTCTCGCAAGTGGTAACGGCTACGTGAGCCGCGAGTTACTTCAGTCATGGTTCTCCGGCTCCCCCCTCCATATTCGGCAATGAGAATTTGCCCGGGTGGCTACAAGTGAGGCGCGTGCGCGAACGTTAATTTCAGTGGCGATGTTGGTGAGTCATGTGGCCTCACCTCAACGATCAATACAAGCGACTATTTTACAACAATCAATAACCTGGATTCGGGCAATAGAGCAAGTATCACACAAAATACGACCATCTACGAAGCACTGGGGAGTTGTTAATTCTTCTAGGCACGCAGTGGCATAGCAACTTGCGCCCCATAAATACTAAAGCATTTGTGTATCCACTACCCTCATGTGATACTGTCACTGATGATGGATTTGGGAGGGAATCCGGGACGTCAGGCAGTTAGGACTCCTGTCCCAGCAATCACGTCTCCTTCGCCTTGGCGGCTATTCATTTAACCATTCCGACATGGTGAACATTATGCCGCCAGTAAATGGGTTCTCATTCTGTCACGGGCTTGAGGTTAAGTCCGGTACATGAAAGCATTTGAAGACCAACTCCCCGAACCCACCTCCGCCAAGATTTCCGACAGCCTTCAAGCAACAAAGATTACTGAGAGTCATGATAAGAGAATCGGTAAGATATGATTATATAGTCCTACATGATGGACGCAATACTGTTAAGGTTGGGGTTAGGGGTTAGGGCAACTGTTTCTCAAACTCATTCAACGTGTGTTTGGAAAACCAAGAACTCCCTACATACGTACCTTCGCTGAACTCGCGCAGGGTCGAGAGAAGAAGGGACATGAAGATATCCCCAGTTGCTTCCTGGAAGAGTTCTGGCAATATGAGAACCTGTCAGGGGGACACACAGAACATATTAGGATTGCGGCAACGAGCTAATGAACCACTTAACGGCTTCGAGCTGCCACTAAACAGGAATTACGAGTTGTGCATGGAGGACAGTTAGCATATTAATACTCAGTTGGTGACCAAGCACTTTATTCACAGAGCAGACATCGTTCGAATTCTTAATAAAATGAACATAACCTACACACCAACTACTTTTCAAGTTACATCGGTCCGTTGCGAAACATTTCCTGACAGGTTTTTAGAATTCACCCCGCCCCACTCCTTCAATTAAGCTTTTACTAAGGAATCCTCTGAATTTACGTGGTACGGTACTGCTTCCAAACTGAAATGCCGGTGCTGCCAAAACTAACTGAATTGACAAGGACAGTGGGATCAGTAACTGCTTCAGTGCTAGTCGTAGTAATACTAATGGCAATTCCGTTCATAGTTGTAATATTACAAGCATTAGTAACAACAGCTGTATCAGTAGTATCGGTGGCAGTTGTTGCAGTGTTAGTGGTTTTACTAGTTGGTGTTGTTGTTGTGGCGGTAGTGGTAGTAGTAGTAGTAGTAGTAGTAGTAGTAGTAGTAGTAGTAGTAGTAGTAGTAGTAGTAGTAGTAGTAGTAGTAGTAGTAGTAGTAGTAGTAGTAGTAGTAGTAGTAGTAGTAGTAAGAACAGTCATAATAATATTGGTAATAAGAATGGTAGCAAAAACGATGTTAGTGATAAACGGCGTCAATAAAATGATCCCATCGATGGCATTTATGGTAGTAGTGACGTCAGCCAAATCTGTAGTGATAACGATAACGTTGGTAGCAGTATCATTAATTTTTGTGGCAGTGGCAGCCGTA